ATGTTTTTTCGGAAATCCGCAAAAGAATGGATTTTTGTATTTCTATCCAAGGTGATACCTTTGAACAATATTTGTAGGCTTTTTTCATATCAATAAAAACTTGACGGTGATGCGCATCATATGAAAACAGAATATTAAGTTCAATGAAATAGAGGAGTTATTCAAAAATATTTTCCACACGGAACTTTTGGGACACACTGTATTTGTGATCGAATGGCGTAACATTTGACTACCTTCGAAACTAAAAGATTTTATCGAACATCTTCGGTCATACCAATAGCCTATTGTTTTACAACGACTCTAACATATAATAAATGATCTGTTTGTAATAAGAAAAACTTGCATTAGTCACTGACTGACAGTTGGCGTTATGAAATTATAAGGATAGTCGTCATAGGGTTGTCAACCGTCGTGCGTTTGTGTTTTTTTCTTAAAAGTTACTCCAGTGTTATACGTGAGGAAAAAAACTATAGAAAGAAAGAAACAAAGAAGTTTTTCTTTTTCAAAAGATTGTATGAAAGAAAAAATCTTGTTTGTATGCGTTGCCTCCTTTTTGTTTTATTCGCTTGTAAAAAATAAGAAGTAAGCATGGTCGACAGTATAATGAAACAACATATCGAGCTGATTCAAAACGACAAAGAGCATATTCCAAGTTCAAAACTCACAGAAATGTTTGATGATTTTGCTCGTGAATGGCATCAATATCAGCCAGAAATAATCTGCCAGCTTTTCTCTCTTCAGTTATCCGATCCTCTGGTATTGAATCATGAATTATTTCGAATTATATTAAATAGTTTGACTGATCTATTAAAAAAATGGCTGTCACTCAATGAGTTGGAAGTATTAAACTTCAAAAAAATAACAGAACTGCTTTTTGTAATGATGAGTGGAAAAAACAAAGAAAATACTGAATCATTTAAATCCTTGCTTCTGAACAAGCCGCTTATCGACTCCATAAGAGAATTTCTTAACAGTATTTTGTTGAATTTGTGTACCGCTAATGTTGATATTCTTGATGGTGTCACAAATCTTTTATCAACATTTGTTAAATTAGAATACGGACGTTTAGATATTATGGATGATGAAAATCTCCTTTCGTTAATGGAACCAATAATAAAATGTTTGTGCTCAACCGAATATTTTGATGTATTAACAGGTTTAAATCCAACAAAAACATTCACATCATGGCAACAATTTCTCGCTGTCACCGCTCCAAATTATTTTTCTTGTTATCGCGGTAAACAAGCCAGGAAATATACGAATCAAATTCGTCGCACATTATTTAAGCGTTATGCGGACGTTCTGCAACAATTACTGCCATCGTTATTCGACTGGAACGAATCAATGATGAAATGTGTACAACATATGTTCATCGTTCTGCGACGATTTGGCGAGTATGCCGAAACAAGAAAGCATTTTACTGAACATTTAAAAATACTTGATTCAATTCTTGTCATACTGAATTCAACAAAAATACAAGACCAAGTATTGCACAATGAAGAGAGCGCTGAAACTTACCTTGTGTATGCTGCATTGTGGGTACTTTCCTCAGCTGGAAGTGAAGAGAAAATTGCCGACTACCTCAGAACTAACCATCGTACGGAAACGTTTCTCACACTAAGAAAAGCAAAAAAACAAGCATTACAACCGTATGTCTATCAAATACTGGCAAATGTCTTAAACGAAGATGATATTAAACAACTGGCTGATCCAAAAGAAATAACCTCAATGTTCATTGATTACGTTAAACAAGCTATTGAAAGTCCTCAATACTCGACACCTGGTGGGAGACTAAAAAATTTGTTGTTTAGCTTGAAAGGTGAGTTAAATACAGTTTATTTTACTTGTTCCTAAAAAAACACTTCAAAAAGAATAATCACAAAATAAGTACTTGGCCATTCTTAGAGTACCGTTTAAATATGTTATTGAAGTAAAGGATGTGTTTAAGTTAGTCTGGGAAACACTTGGAAAACAGGAGAAAACGGAAGGGCAGACTATGGGAGATACACACTTACTGTTCATATTGAAGTTGGGAAATAGATTTAAGTAAAAAACAGAAAGCCTCTTCGAGAGAATCCTGCAAGTTAAAACCGATAAAAATTTCGGAAACTTTCGCTCGCAAGTCGTAGGCGATGCTGTCCTTAGTTTATTCTTGACCTACGATAAAATTGTAGATATTATTTATGTAGTATAATTAAGCTTAAGTGTTTTATGTAGGAACTCGATAAGTTACAGAAATAATCATTTTGAGCTTTTAATTCGTATTGCTAAAAAGCACAAAAAGAATTTTTCTATAACTTATCAAGTTCGTACATAAAACAGTTAAATTTAATGGATCCCACGTTAATCTTAAGTTATAACATGTTTACACAAAAACGAAAACTGCTTTTCTCGCAAACAAAAATATATGGTCAATACGAATTAAAATATCAGCATCACACTAATACATCCTTTGTTTGTGGAGATTTTAACAGCATCCATGTAACCTTAGGTTCACTAGTAAATAACACACGCGGAACTACTTTGCGAAGGTGGATAGACGATAAGAATTTTTATGTTTCTTAACCAGATCAAGCAACCTCGAAACAATCACAAAATATGTTAGATTTTTCAATCTCTACTTTTGATGAAACTGTTTCAAAAACTATTTTAGAGGGATCAAGTAATCACTACTCGGTTTTACGCGATCTTCCGTTTTCCCTTCAAGAGGATAAATGTTTTACAGTCATACATTAGATAGTTTTTAAAGTGATTTTCACTCTTCTGTTTTCATATATTAATTATCTATCTACCACTTTGGATTCCGAGTCGTTTTTAAGCCTGTTTTCTATTATTACGTCAGAAATACTACAGCGTTGCACCGAGTTTCAAAAGGGGAAAAGCTTCCGCCCTTCTTTACCAAACCACACTGGTTAAGAAACAGGACTAGAAGATTAAAGACGCAAGAAGCAATTTCAAATTTTAAAGGTTTTTGAACACCCTATTTCGTCACAATAAAGAGGTGGATATCAGTTTAACGCGAATGATTTTTTTCGCTTACATTTATCCTTTTTTATTTGCAATTTCACTTATTTCTTTCATTATAACTTTGAACAACAGGTAAAACTTGTAAGACTGACTCTATCATTGGTCACTAGAACGTATTTATTCTCTTTTTTTCGATTACAATGTACTTTTCTTTCTCGCCGGCTACAGAACTTTGCTCGACCTTGTAGTGACCTTCTGGCAACGATTCCTCACCTATTTATGGGGTGCAATAGACGCAGACCTCGTGCATGCTTCCTGGTCAATGTATTCATCCTTCAGTTGTGAGCACAGAGTGAATACATTGTACGAAGCAACCTTAAGACTCAACCAGCGTAATCTTAATCTATACTTCATGAAATACAAACACGTCTTTCACAGTTTTTTGGACGCCATAGAACTTTTTGATCATGTATCTAATTATCAGGATGAGGAAATAGATTACCGTGTACATACATGGAAGGAATTTCTCTGATTTCACTATTGTAACCTTCATCACATTAGTTTTTCTTCTTCTTGTATAAGTTTCTGGTAGACGCCTCAGTATGTGTGGGTGTAAAAACTTCATGTGAGTAGTTTGCTTTGATGCTACCTTAATTGCATAATAAACAACCACAAAGATCAAAATAATTATTTTTTTAAAATTTATTATAACAACCAGTTTTCTACTAAAAACTTTGTCTGACTAGATACTATATTACGATATTACGAGTTAACATTTCGAAAAGAAATAAACTGCTATTTATTTATCTTTATTTCACAGCACTCGTTCAGCATGATCAAATTAAAGATGAATTAGTTCGTCAACAGGGTTTACCTCTGTTGATACTATGCGCTATTGACACAAAATTTCGTGTTTATGAGGTTCAACAGTACGCACTTGAAATCATCTGGGCATTGACATTTAACAATGAAGCATTCAATACGTTGAAGAACGACGATGTGTTTACAACACATGTAAAATCTCTTATCAATAGTAAAAAACAACGTATTAAAAGAGCTTCTGAGGGTATCGTATGGAGACTGGAGAAAGAGTCTTCGAAACTTCATGTACAACAAGTGCTACAGGAGAAAAAGGAAACAGCTCCAGATCGACATTATAAATATGACATTATGATTAGTTATTCTCATGATGATAAAGTGTTGTGTTATCAGATTCAAGAACAATTGGTCCGCGATGAATTTCGCGTATGGCTTGATCGTGACAATCTGTATGGTTCACAAATGCAAGAAATGGCCGATGCTATTGAAAATTCCCAATTTGTCTTCATCTGCATGTCAGACAAATACAAACAAAGCGTATACTGTCAATCAGAAGCTCATTATGCATTTGAACGCGGCTGTCAATTGGTACCAATTAAGGTTACAGAAAATTATCGACCGGATGGATGGTTAGGCTTTATTGCCACTGGCAAAGTTTACATTGATTTCACGAAAACAGATTTTAATATTGCCTATCAAAAGTTAACGAAGGAAATTTCACGTCATCGCTCTCAACAACCACCTGCCATTCCTCCGGCTCCCCATGAAGTTCATAGCGTCAAGTAGGTTTTTCTTTAAAATTTATCTCGTCTTGAGAAATAGTTACTACACAAGTTTCCAAGCTTCGCCGGTAGCCGTCCAGGTTAAGTCGCTAGAATATTTTTCTCAGTATATTAGCATGGTATCAACCTATCCATCTTTGCTACACTAACTAATGTGAATAACCTACTAATGCACAATATATCACCGTATGCAGCATATTTAGAATTATGAATCCTCCGTTACACTATGTGTTTGTATTCTGACACCTTTGCGTGAAGCTCAGATGATTTCACAATGATAATGACACATGTGGCTATAGGGTTTTGATATTTTGCTTCTCGAAGATACGAGAAGCTCGGAATGCAAAACTAATACAAAACGGAAAAATGGGTTCCATTTATCTTCCAGTCATGTGACTCAGTTTCATTTTGAAACCATCTCGTGCTCTGCAATATGTGAACTAAGAGCGAAATTTGAAAATGCTAGTGGTGCTTAATATATCTACATGGGACTATGCTACTGGCCTAATCTTTAAAAGGAGAAATGTGCGTAACTGTTATGGTTACCTTATGGAAAAACAGTGGTTACTGATCTTCCAGGTTTCCGAACTCAGCCTCCATAGATCCCTAAACTCAACTAGATCTCCTTCGCCAGTTAATCGATTTTATTAATTTCTATAGTTTCTTGCTGAGATGACTTTTTTCTTCTGCTTAATGGCACATCGTAAAGTGGTGCCGTCGATTGAAGTTATGCTCTATTAATTTGCGAAACTCTAGACTAAAGTAAGAAGAATAGAAATTTTAGGGAAAAAACAGTATTCTTGAGAGCACAATGTCGTAAATTCTGAGTCACTTTTACTTTCACTAGAGGAAATGTACGTTTTAAAATCTACGAACCAGTTCTTATAAAGTCACAAAAGATGAATCAAACTAAGGCAAGGGTGTCAAGTTAACGTTAATTTGACGCAGAAGAGAAGAGAAAATCGTACCACACAAAGAATTTCACAATATCAGACCATATAAGAATGTCTAACAATGAGAAGAATACATATCGATCCATACATGCGTAGATGGTAAAGAAAATGAAAACTAAAACTATTCTTCGGAGCGCCGTTTACACAGCTCACAAAGTGTAAAACAGAGTGCTACTTTTACTGGAAATTAAGATTTGGAATACGGACAGATTGCTGTAGTTAGTACATAAAATTTTTCTTCGATGGCAGCGATTGTTGCATACGCAATGGTCTTGTTACACAGTAATTTTTTTCAGCAGCAAAAATACAATAAATTAGAATCTGTTCTTTTCTTCATTGTACAAAAAAGAGAAGAGGGGAGAATTTCAGTAGCAAGTTATTTTTATACCCGTAGGACAAGCCAAAAGAACATTACAAAGTGCAGAAACCTTTCGGAACTCGGTGATATATGCCTTTTACGTCTGAGTTAGTCAGCTATAAGTTTTTTTGCACACGCCAGTCGCTTGTCATCCGTTCATTTGATACCTCTAACTTGTCGAAGTTCAACTTTTAAGGGTGGAGATGAAAAGTGCTACCTTGATAGTTCTGTAATGGTTCTCTCGCTTTCAAAGATGCAACTAGGCATGTTACGAACCCGAATCTAGGTTCGAAGTTCGACTTTGAACAGTTCTAGTTCGAGAACGTTCGATGCCGAAGTGTTCGGCTGTCGAACTCGAATTTGAAGTTCGAGTTCGAATTCGAAAAGTTCGGGTTCGAGTTCTTTCAACTAATGTTAGCGCAGGTTTAGTAGCAAGATTGGGTGGGCACGGCTCGTAAATCATACCTGGAGCTTTTTTGATACTGCAAGCCTCTATCGGATATAGTTTCTCACCGTTTGCCCCTAGTTTCATAATGCTTAATGAATTAGTGTTGTCTTTAGGAATCAGTTTCAGCGGTGTATCATTTTCAAAACATTCTCGGTTAGTCTATGATAACAATCTTTAACCTTTTTAGATATTCTACATTTTTGATCAGTCAGATACAAGAGTCTTACATCAAACATTTATTTCTCTCTCATAGAGCAGGCATCCGGTTTTAGAATTCTTTCTCTTCTTCCTTTCAAACACAAATGTAGCTACTGTCCTTCTTAAAATTCGTGATAGATCTTTTGTGTACACATGTTCTTAATACATACCAGAGAAAAAGAAAAATAATCCGGATACTTGTACATACTAGCAACACTTGGAACGAGTGTCAGTAGTGAATCCGGTTTCAGTTCAAGTGCCTATTATGGTTGAAAAGAGCGTGCGCTCTTCACATAATGACTAAAACGCACATGTGGCATTTTCCTTTTAGAAAAATGCAACATGAAATTTCGGCTTTTTTTGGCATTTTGCATCCTGAACTGCAGAAAAGACTGATTTTGCATTCTGAAATGTAAAAAACAGTGATTTTTCATCCGGAGATGCAAAAATAACTGACTTTGCATTCTACAATCCAAAAAAAAATTAATTTGCATCTCGAAAAGTGGTATTGGCGTTTCTGAAAACAAAAGCTGCATTTTCTTGCACTTAGAAATTCACATAATTACAGTTTGTGCAGGTTCACATTTTGTAGGCTAATTATATATTTAGATATCTACCGGGTGAAACGGGGTTGGGGGTGGGGGAGGGGAGCATGAGACTGAGTTACGAAGTATCAGTTCTCGTTTAGAGGGCTTGGTAGGTTACTTGACTAGGGCGGGAGGTATTAGGCAGTGCTGGTGAGTTCACCAGGCTTAGAGAGGGCGGGTAAAGCTACTAACAGCCCGAGATGTAATTTAGAGCAATTGATTCAGTTTTTCTTCGTGCCTAAATTCTTCGTTTTTCTTCGCTCCAAATATCTAGTGTGGGTCCATTTCGAAATATCTAAATATCTATATATCTAGTGTTGGTCCATTTCGAAATATCTAAATATCTAGTGTGGGTCCATTTCGAAATATCTTAATATCTACATATCTAGTGTGGGTCCATTTCGAAATATCTTAATATCTAAATACCTGGTGGAGAAAAAAATGCAGGCTGCAAAAACGAAAAGGACACATATGCGTTTTGGTCATGAGGTCGCGCTCCTAAAGCCAGAGAAGTTAGGTTTTTCTGCCTTTTTGAAAAATAAATTATGTGTTGAAGCCGTTGAAGAAAATGGTGTAGATTGAACATAAATAATGTGACTAAAAGTTTGTTGTGTAAAGACATCTTTATGTGTGTTTGTATCAATTTCTTTTTCTGATATACCGGAAGTTGGTATAAGCTTTATGAAAGAGACAAGAAAGAATACAGCAATGGTATAATAAACAGTAAAAGGAAAGAGGCGAATCCATTGCATCATTCTGACTGTTTATAACGTGAAGAAATCTACAAAGATCTATATACTGTTTGATAAATACCAGAAGCTCCTCTCCTATTTATTCTAGCTCATTTATCTTCTATCCTGTTCACACTTGTTATGTTTGTGGAAAAAAATTCGCTATTTCATTGTCTTTCAAGTCAAAGTGCGAAAGCGACAAGAAAACTTTAGTATGTGCAAAACTTGCTTTTAGGAGAAAATATAATAATTTTCTGATTATATAGTTTCTTTTCTTACGCATTTGATGTCGAACTCAAACTCGAACTCGAAGGTTCGAACACGTTCGAAGTCGAACCCGAACTTGTTTAAAGGCGAACTCGAACATCGAACTTTGCTCGAACTCGAACTTCAAACGTCGAACGTTCGGGTTCATAACATGCCTAGATGCAACAAACTAAAAATTGAAGACATTTGAACCTCCCACTTCCTTCTGTCTTTACTTCTTTCTTTCACTACTTCCATAGCCTTTGTTTGCAGTAGCAGACTAGTGTTATTCGACACTAAATAAGAAAAAGAAGAAAAAAAAGAATTAGAACAACAACATCAGCAAGTGATAAAGTTATTAACTGATGTTCGAAACAGTTAAGCGTGAAACTCTTTCTACGTGTTTTTTGTTTATTTTAATTTTTTTGTTATCTTTTACTTTAATCGGTTGATAGATAAAATAGAAATCATTAGAAAGTGAAGAGAAAGTTAGTTACTAGAGAAAGTTACTTTCAGTCTCAAAACTTTTATTTTAAAATGTAGCTAAATCCAAATGTCTCATGGAATCTTCTTTTCGACTGTGTTTCTGCGCTTTTTTCCTTACTTGATTTATGCGCTCATTCTTCTTTCGATATCATTTTTTCTCGGACTGATTTTCAAAAGAAGTCGACGGTGAAAATAGCAACGTTCCTTGAATAGTGAGTAAATAGGTTTAAGCACTCTGTTTTTCAGTTCCTGAGTTGATACAAGGAGCGAGAGTATTCTAGAAAACAACAGCGCATGAAAAAGCCTATTTTCGACAACGTTAAACGTTAAGGTTAAAATTTAACGCAACGTTAGCATGACACCCCCGAACTAAGGAAACATTTAAAATTAGATAATAATGGTTGATACGTGTTTTAGTGTATCTACCGACTATCTCACGAAAACATGTGTCGAATTATGGACAAGAAAAGATGTAGTGGATTTTCTTAATGATAAGAAACTTGAGGCAATGATACCTCTCTGTGAAGACACGAATGGAAGTCAGTTATTGAAAATGTACAAAATGTGTGAACATGATATGGATGGCATGTATAAATCGTTGAAATCAGATTTGGAAATAATTCATGGCCATCAAAATACACTTTTGCTCAAGGTTTATCTACGATTTGTGGACGAATTAAAGCCGTATATTCCATTATCGAGTGGTACCACTTCTAAATCAGTTGTGTGTAATATCATGTAACTCATTGCAAATCCCGTTAATACACTCCTCCATTTATATTAGTTTGTGAAACTTGTAGATTGTCGACTGAATTCGTACTGAATCTATCTTCTTGGGCATAAGTGGGATGAAAACTTCGATTAAAATATAAAATTTGTTCTTCTCTCAATTTATCGCATTGGCTATTGTCTTGTATATATAACAAAAATGAAAGGCTGTCAGATCCTATAAGGAGAAAATCTGAAAGCGGTACCTTTGATTTCTGTAGTCAACTATAGGGTGTCCAGAAAGTCACTAGAGTTGCAGAAAATTTCAAAATCTTCATGACTCTTCAACCAAATGAGTTGAATTTTTTTCTGAAGGTAGAAGACAAATAGTCGTTTTTATTTATGAAGGAACGGTCCGTTTATAGGCATCAACTCGACAATTTTTTCTTCAATGCACGACCAGTTAGCTACGATAAAGATCTATTTATCATCTAAAAGTAGCTCTCTTATCGTGGTTTTGCGCTAAAAACCAAATCACTTGCTATTGATGAGAAAGTCGCTATTGAACGACTTTTTTCAAAGTTTGGACGTGCAATTGACGTACAAAGAGAGTGGTCCAATTATTTTGATACAACTCCACCTCATCTAACGACAATTTCATCAATAAATAGGAAATTTGATGAAGATGGAACACTTGAAAGTTTACCACGCAGTGGTCGCCCGTCAAGTGTACTTTTTGAAGAAAAACTAGACGAGATTGAAGAAATGGTCACTAGTAATCCACAACTGTCTATTCGTCAAGGTGCCGCTCAAGCTGGTATAAGCAAAAGCAGTTACCAAGTAGCTATCAAACAACTTAACTTTAAACCTTATCGGCCCACCTTGATAGTCGAGCTTAATGAAGATGATTTTGATCGTCGCCGCGAGTTTTGCGAATCATGGATCGAAAAATTCCAGAACGAGCCGGATCTAATCGATAACATATTCTGGAGCGATGAAGCCAAATTTAATATGAATACAGTAGTTAATCGACATAACTGCATGTATTGGGCCAGAGAAAATCCATACTTAAAATTTGAAGTACCAAATACGCAGCAGGGAGTCATGGTTTGGTGCGGAATAAGTTCTAGTGGGGTTGTTGGTCCGTATTTTTTCAATGATATTGTTACTGGCCCGTTGTACAAAGAAATGCTGGTTAGTTACGCATGGCCTCAGTTGAAAAATAAAAACTTTTACTTTCAACATGATGGAGCAGGACCTCATTATGCTGTTATTGTTCGAGAATGGCTTGATAGAAAATTCCCAGATCGCTGGTTAGGCAGACGTGGTCCATTCGACTGGCCAGCTCGTTCACCAGATTTGAGCCCATGTGACTTCTTTCTTTGGAATTATTTAAAGGACATCGTGTTTAAAACGCCGCCCGCCACCATTACAGAACTTCAAGACAGAATTAAGACAGCCTGCGAAGAAATACCAGAAGACGTGTGTCGCAAAGCATGTCGCTCTGTTTTGGGACGTTTTCGTGATTGCTTGAACAACGAAGGACAATTTCTTTCATACTAATGATATCGCATTACATATCAACTACATTACTTGATAAAAAAATAAAAGAATAGTCAACAGTATTCCATGATAGCTATGAACAACAAATGTTTGTGCGTAGCTAACTGGTCGTGCATTGAAGAAAAAATTGTCGAGTTGATGCCTATAAACGGACCGTTCCTTCATAAATAAAAACTACTA